AGGAACTGCTGGGGTACAGTTGGGGGGCCCAGCGACTGGGACAGAGCACAGGGGTCTCACCCAAGTGCTTGTAGCCATTGCTGGAGACTGAGGAAAGCATACATGGGACAGAGAGAGCAGTGCAGGGACAAGACCTGGCCATTATTAATGGGAAATGAGTAGACCATGTGGGAACAAGGCAGGGAAGTTATTCACGGAACAGGGGCGGCATCGGGGCAGAACTGGCAACAGTTTTCATGGGTAAAGGAGAGGCCTGGACATATGGGGAGGAGCCCAGACCTATCTCCTTTTTCTGTACAATAAAATAACTTTTAATCTTCCGAATTTTGTATGAAAATCTTTGATACAAATTCTCAAGAACCCACCAGCATAGGAAAATCTACTTCTATGCTAACACCAGGACGGTAGGAAGCTGCTTTTTTTTTCTTTTTGGGTCACACCCGGTGATGCACAGGAGTTACTCCTGGCTCTACACTCAGGAATTACTCCTGGCGGTGTCAGGGATGCTGGAAATCGAACCTGGGTTGGCCGCATGCAAGACAAACACCCTACCTGCTGCGCTATCACTCCAGTCCCAACGAAGCGGCTTTTGAGGTCGTGAGGTTGTGCTGATCTGGCATGACCTCCTGGGAAGAGAATCAATTATTCAGCGGACTCATGTAACTGAGTAGGAACAAGGACTCAGAGGCAAAAGGTCTGTCATGATTCAGGTGAAGACCTGGGATTTGCTCTGCAGAGTTGTCAGATCACTGCATGAGACAGGAACAGGGAATGTAGAGGGCGCATCCTGAAAGCCAACCATCGTCCTTGTATCAACGCTAAACGCTGGAGGTCCTGGAGCTGAAATTAAAATGCTCCATAGTATAAGGAGATTGGAAACTGGAGAACACAGAGAGGGGCAGGAGCAATCAGAAGCAGGGGACTCAGGGCACCCAGGGGAAGCAGCCAGCTCTCTGAGGTTGATATGAACCAGATGGATTTTTCAAGGGACAGGACTCATAGTTCCTGTTTAAATCCTCCCATGCACTATCTTGGAAAAAAGAAAAAGCTGTGCACTGGCCCCAAGAACTCTCTGTCCTGCCCTTCTACACCCTCCACACCCTATAGATATACTCAGTCTCTGAGGCCCCTACAAACTCTGGGAACACTCACAGCACCCCACTCATCTCCACCTGCCCTCAGCCTACCCATCCCCCTTAAGGCACAGCTCCCTAGGGTGAGGCACAGCCCAGTGAGCAGAGAAAATTCTCAGAGTAAACTTGACCTTCAGGAGTTGACCACTGGTGGGCGTGGCAGTGTATACTGTCATCCAACCATACAAAAAGAAGAACTGGTCCCCTTCTGTCATTCTGAATGACAGTAAATCCTGGAGCCCTACTCCATTATTGCATCAAAAATGGTTCTTTCTACTCAGTGAGGACCTTGAAGCTTGTTTTCAAGTAGATCTAAAGAACTTCAGCTACACTTGGTGGACCAAACCCCGTGAAAGCAGAGTAAGTAACACTTGTCTTTCCTATCTTGCAAGTTATTGTTGTGGGCACCGTGGTCTGAAAACACATGTACTGCCAGGTGGGACGGCAGCCCTTCTCACACTGCATGTCATTGTTTGTTTACCTCTTCGCCACCTCCATGGTGGGCACTTCTTTGAGGACCAGACAGTTGTGTAAGTGGCCAGGCAATGCATCTGTAAGGGAATTCAGAATTTTGCAATACCAAGAATGAATGGGTTTGCACGGCTCAGTGCTCAGATGAAAATTAGTTCTGTTTTGTTACTTAAAACAGAAAATTTGCTTGAATGTCTGGGATTGTTGCTGACTGATTAAGAAATTCAGCCCAGTCTTAAGAAGTTGGGCTTCTTAAGGTCCTTTCCGTGGCAAGCTATGCCAGGAGAAATTGCTTGGCAAATTTCTTCTCTGTAAACAAAGCACAGTTTGTGGCTTAAAAAAAAAATGCCCCAAAGGAAAATGTTTAGAAAAAACTTTGCAGACTCCAGACTGATCAGATACTGAATCAATTTCTTAAGAAGACTGGAACCAAATGGTCAGAGTTGAGACTGCTGAGGGTCCTGGAGAGCAGAATCTCCCCCACCAGGAGGCAGGGCATTGCCTCCCAGGGGTGGCGGGGGGCGGGGGGAGCACATCCATTTAGTTTTTTTTTTTTAAGAGAAAGGCAGGTCAGGAATGAAGTCCACTGGAAGGTATCTCTTTTTATTTTTATGTACTTTTATTTTATTTTTTCAGTTACAGAACTTTCATGTTTGAGTTTCAGCCATACAATGATTGAAAAACCATACCTCCACCAGTGTACATTTTCCACTGCCAATGTCCCCAGTATTCCAACCCCCCCCCCGCAACCTCTCCTCCCCCTCCTCCTCCCTCTATCGCAGACAATTGCCCCCCCCCTTATGGATGTTATGGTTTGCAATATAGATTACAGATAATGAGAGATAATGAGAGGCCATCATGCTTTAATTGTTCCTCCAAAGGAGATCTTGAAGAGTCCCAGATTTTCAGTTAGAAACTCCTAGAAGTTTGCATTACCTGCCACCAGATTGTATGCATTCATTCCTTCTTTAGTTCCCACCCTGAGCAGAGAGGTAGCGCTGGCAAGTTAGACTGCAAGGTACTATGTTGAAGTGCTAACAAATATTAACAAATGGTTCCTCTGAGAAAATAAGAGCCCTGATTTCTATTATATGTTAATTTCCATAGAGTGTATGTTTCCACTGTGCTGGTACATGTCCCAAATGTTTGGTTTCAAACTATCAACATGCCAGATGCAAATTTGGGAAGAAATATGCAAGACAAGTTTGACACGCCCTTGTAAGCCAGCTCTTTGTACGTGGGGGCGTCTTCCATTAAAGACTGCTGTTTCTCTGCTCGGGCTTGAAAACTCCCAGGGAAAAGGATGCTGGCATTGTAGTGCTCCAGGCTTGAAGACTACAGCTCATCTCTGGGCAATGCTTTTGGAACAATCTTTCACTGCAGATTAGAGGTTCAAAGATAGCTTGTTCTCAGATAGAGAGGGGAGCACCAAATAAAGGGTGTTGGGAGGATCCTCCCAGGATGGGAGAGGCATGCTGAAAGTATACTATAGACCAAACATGATTGTCACCCATTGCCTCTTTTGCAAACCACAACACCCAATAAGAGAGAGAGAACAAAAGGGAATGCCCTGCCACAGAGGGAGGGTGGGATGGGGAGGATGGGGGATGGGAGGGATACCGGGACCTGTGGTGGTGGAAAATGGGCACTGGTGGAGGGATGGGTATTTGATCATTGTATAATTGAAACCCAAGCACAAAAATTTGTAAGTCTACAGCTGTACCTCATGATGTCTCACTAATAAAAATAAAATAAATTAAAAAAAAAAAGATAGCTTGTTCTTTGGTCTCTCCTCTCAGGTTCCACCTAGGCCAGTGCCCTTAATGAGACACATACTCTAGAATTGTTGCAGAATGCCTGGAAATCTGAGAAGATTGTGAATAGAATTTGAAATAGTCCAGAAGAGAGAGAGAGAGAGAGAGAGAGAGAGAGACAGAGACAGAGAGAGACAGAGACAGAGACACACACATTACTGGTGCCTGCTCAAGCAAACCGATGAACAACAGGAAGACAGTGCTACAGTGCTACTGAGTCTGCTTGAATTCACTCTAGATATGTGGATTTGTAAACAGAAGCCTTTCATTAAGCAATGTAGAGGAAGAGCACTATTGATTCTAGATTCGAGATGGGAATTATGATGGTGGCAGCACCTACATGGATGATTGGGTTTTAGGTTGAGCAAATTCAGAGTAATGACAACCTACTGAAAAGTGTAGTCCTTGTCGAGCTAGAATTGTCCAGCAAAATTCACTTTTCAGGTTACAAAGAATTCTAGTGTGAGAACTTGGGAGTAGGGGTGGGGAGCTACATAAATATGCCAGAAAGAATTCCAACCTTGGACATTTCTGATGGCAATAGGCCTCAGAGAAGGGGCACTGGAGGGAAGGATGCATCCAGAAAGTTAAGAGGGCCCAATAGATGCCAAATCATCCCAGTTCTTCCAATCTTTTTGTTCCTCTGAATTCTTCACTCAAATCCCATAGCAGGTCTACAGAGTTACTTAGAGATCTGATTATGTCACATAAGATCTGTGCAATGGGGGATCAAGTGGGGGTCATTCTGGTGTCCCCAACGCCCATGTCTGAAAGGGGGTAAGGTTGGTCTTCTAGAATTCTACCTTTGCAGCACTGTTGATAGCATGTAGAACATTTTTGGCTTTGTCAACAAAAATCCCTTTAGGTGACAACAATAACAACAAAACAATGTTTACTGACCATACCTCCTCAATTTCCCTAGGATGCCACATCACTCCTGAAAACCTTTTTTAGACCTAGAGCCATGAAACCCAGTTTTGCTTTGACTCTAGGTCAGGCCTGTTTTCCAGCTAACTTCTGCAGTTCCCACAGCAGATATTGTCTTGTAATAGGAAAGCCAAGTGGTTGCAAGAATGGATAGGAGACTGAGACACACCTGGATTTGAGTTCCATCTCTCCTGTTTAGGACACTAACCACTCTTTTTGTTTCATCAACTCTGAAATAGAGATGGATAATGGTCCACCTTCTTCCAAGGATTGTTTTAGTCAAATGTCAAGCCCATGGGAAGCTCTTGAACAGCACTGGTTCTAAGTAGGGGTTCTAAGTGGGGGTCTCCAATGACTGCTCTCCATCTGTTGGGTTACTCCTCACAGCACTCATTGTCAGCAATATTAAATGAATGATTTGTGTGTGCGTGCTTATTGCTCACTCCCCTTGTTAGACAAGGACAGAGAGGACCTGGGTCTTCCCTGCTCAAGGTTTTACCCCAGTGTCTGGTTCATAGCAGGCACTCAGTAATTAGTTATCAAGTTATTGAAGATATATAATCATTGAATTATCTTTGTTATTCAGAGTTTACTGCCTTCAACAGCAAAGTGATTGCAGAAACTGTTTACCATGGCCCTTTGGGGAAGCTACCAGATGGAAACCACAGAGAACTATACTAACTATGATCCAACGACAGAGTATGACTATGAGGATGCAGCACCATGCCAGAAGGAAGATATAAGGGCCTTTGGGGCCCAGTTATTGCCCCCTTTGTATTCCCTGGTATTTGTTATTGGACTGATCGGCAACATCCTGGTGATTCTGGTCCTTATCCAGTACAGGAGACTCAAAAGCCTGACCAGCATCTACCTCCTGAACCTGTCCATTTCTGACCTGCTCTTCCTCTTCACACTGCCCTTCTGGATTGATTACAAGCTGAAGAACAACTGGATTTTCGGTGATACCATGTGTAAGTTCCTCTCAGGGATTTATTACATAGGATTGTACAGTGAGATCTTTTTTATCATCCTGCTGACAATTGACAGGTACCTAGCCATTGTCCACGCTGTGTTTGCCCTGCGGGCCCGGACTATCACCTTTGGTATCATCACCAGCATCATCACCTGGATTGTAGCCATCTCAGCTTCTATCCCAGGTTTCTACTTTTCCAAGAGCCAGAAGGAGAAAGCTTATTTCACCTGCAGCCTCCATTACCCTTTCGAAAGTCAACGAGAATGGAAACAGTTCCAGGCTCTGAAACTGAACATCTTGGGGTTGGTGTTGCCTCTGTTGGTCATGATTGTCTGCTACACTGGGATTATCAAGATTCTGCTCAAACGGCCCAATGAGAAGAAAGCCAAAGCTGTCCGTCTGATTTTTGCCATCATGATTATCTTCTTTCTCTTTTGGACACCCTACAATCTGACTGTGCTTGTTTTTGCTTTCCAAGACTCCCTTTTCACCCATGAGTGTGAGCAGAGCAAACAGCTGGATCTGGCTATGCAAGTGACAGAGGTGATCGCCTACACCCACAGCTGTGTCAACCCTGTCATCTATGTTTTTGTTGGTGAGAAATTCCAGAAGTACCTACGCCAGTTATTCTACAAGCATGTGGCTGTGCATCTAATCAAGTGGTTTCCTTTTCTCTCCATCAACGGTCTGGAAAGGAACAGCTCCACAACCCCCTCCATAGCAGAGCATGAACTCTCTGCTGGGCTCTGACTAACGACCCCTCCTCCCCCTCCCAAGATTGATCCAGGACCCAGCCAGGGTGACCTGTCAGAGATACTGGCAGGAGAGGAGGCAGCCTGGGCCTCCAAACCAAATGTGATACTATGTAATATGGAATTTTAGCAATTTGGGATGGAAGGAACTTCAAGGTGGTTTGGATGAAATCCCTGGTCTTGAGTCTTCTCTACAAATTATTTTCTGGTGGTAAAAGGAAATAGATGACTGAAACAGGACTGTCTAATAGACTGAGACTAAATGTAACAGTGAAGGGCTTGAGCCGACATAGGATTTCAGATTTGTCCAAAATAATGTTTACAAAGCCATGGTAACATTTCCCCATTTCTACACTCCAACCACCAACACCAAGGAAATTATGGTAGTGATTTCCATTGGGAGCCTGGAGCCAATCAGGCCCCACACAGCCTCCACACAGCCACCCTCCCACACTCCCTTGGCAGGGTTTAGGTTCTTGGAAATCTTGAGGAACATAGACCTCCTGATAGAAGAACTTGTGACCTAGTGGGAAGTATGATTGGGGGGATTGCTGTTAGCCAAGAAACAAAGAGAACTCAATTCAGCAGAGGGCTGTATGTATGTATATACCTATGTAAGTCATTCTGTGCTTCATGAAATAGTCATAGTCATTTTCATTTACCATTGAAAACTGCCTTTTCTTTTAGGATGATGTGATGTGTGTGCATATTCTGACAGGTTTATAGCAGAAGTTTCTAACATGCAAAAGGAAACAGGATTGAATTTTCATCATCCAGGCTTCCTGGCTTTATGTATCAGAGTTCTAGCTGCCACCATGGACCGATCAGCAGGAAAAAACTTGCTGTGCAAGCCCATGATATTAGTGTTTGGAAGGAGGAGAACGTCTACCAGAAAGGGTGAGGGCAGTTTCAATCTAGATGTAGGAGATTGAGAGGACCTGTGACACGGAGGAAGTTATTAACCTCTGTGTCCTTAACACTCCGTCTCTTCCCAGTCATCTCCTCTATTTCTTTGAAAATTATTCTTTCAGAAACAAAAATTGTTGGTAAAAAAAAAAAAGCTTAGTGGGGCTGGAGAGATAGCACAGCGGGTAGGGCGTTTGCCTTGCACGCGACCGACTCAGGTTCAATGCCCAGCATCCCATATGGTCACCTGAGCACCGCCAGGAGTAACTCCTGAGTGCATAGCCAGCAGTAACCCCTGTGCATTGCCAGGTGTGACCCAAAAAGCAACAAACGAAAAAACAAACAAAAAAGCTTAGTAACACAAAGGGAGAGATATCTACAGCACAAAGTCATCACAGTCCCACAATCCCATGACAACTCGGGTACATTTGTAATTTTTTTCTTTTTCTTTACTTTTTTTAACTTCCCATGAATATTTATAAAATGGTCTTCAGATATACTTTTGTTTTCAAATATCTGTATGTCAGGATCCCTTTTCCAGGTTAATAAATGATGTCAAAGTGTTGTTTTGATGCCTGCACTGGATATATGCTGTTGATTCACTTCATTGCCTGCACAGTTCAATTCAGTCCAGCCACAGTGACTAAGGACATGCCACATGCAAGGTAAACTCTCTGAATACTAGGAGACATAGAAGCAGAGGGAGGTTTGTTTTCTCAGTGATATTAACAGACCCAGAGATGCAACAGGATCTTGGCGAGATGGGTGGGGCTTTCAAGAAGTCTGTGTTGCCAGGGTAGCAAAGGAAGGAGGCTCCAGAAGTGAATTGGGTTCCAACTTACAACTCAGCAACCTCATTGGACTGTTCTCTCTTCCCTGGGACACTAGAGTGTTGCTCTTAAAGCCAATCTCCCCTGCAAGTAGGGACTTACCAGGTTCTCATGATCTGCTGTGCACCAAGCTGGGAGTAAACTTTGAGCATTACGGAGTGTACCTCCTGCACCCAAAGAGAATACACCAGCCACCAATCTTAAGCACAATTAGCATCTTTCATTATAATAAAGGAAGGGAGGAAGGGATACCAGCTGGCAGGAGTTGGGGCTGTCTGGGAAGAGGGAGCTTCTGAGCTTATTTTTGTTTGGGGGCCACACCCATCTATGCTTGGGGGTTACTCCTAACTCTGCACTCAGAAATTACTCCTGGTGATGCTTCGGGGACTATATGGGATGCCAGGGATTGAACCTGTGTCGACCACATGGGAGGTAAGCACCCTACTTGGTGTACTATTTCTCTGGCCCCTAAGAGGGGGCTTCTGAAATGAGGCATGAGGAAGAAGGTGGAAGTAAGGGGGTGGAGAGAGGCTGATCTGGATTGGGACAGGCAAAGACCAAGAAGTGAGAGGGAGCTCAGCTCATTTCAGGAACCAAGAGCTCTCCACAAAAATAGGTGTGCACAGAGATGGGGTGGAAATGGGGGGGGGGGGCGGCTTCTGCAGGAGAAAACCACCAGAAGCCTTGGAAGCCACATTGAAAGTTTAGATCTTCACCCATTAGCTACTGAGTCTTCATTTGGGGAGTGACTTTATTATTTGCATTGTAGAAATTTCTATACTGGCTGCAGAAGGGTTGGGAGTGAATCAGAGATAGAGACCCTTATTAGGAGAAGGTTATGGTCTAGAGATGAAATTATAGCAATCCGCCATAGAGATCCATAGAGTGGCACTGAGGACAGAGTTTATGGATGGGTATTTAAAGAAGAAGAATCATCAAGGCTGTTCTCATTGAATGGGTTGGAAAGATAGAGACTCCCCATTATCTCTTTCTGGCAATTAGCCAAGGACACTGCCCTTTGCTGCGATTATGAACTGACTTGGGACTGGAGTGGAATCATGAGTTGGGTCTTAGGTGACCAGATTTAAGTGGTTATGAGAGTCTAGGCAGGTACCAGGAGACAGATCCTCTCTGAAGACCATAGAAATGTTAGTGATTAGTAACTAAAGAAGTTCAGACAAAAGCCAGATTTCTGGCTTCTTTCAATAACCGTAAATTATGTCCACACTGGATTTACATTCTTTTCAATCTTGGTCAGGTTTTATGTCAAATCAAGCCTAATCTGGATGATGTGTGTCTGTGTGTCTGTGTAAGTGTGTTGTGTGTGTGTCTATGTGTGGTGTGTCTGTTTGTGTGTGGTATGTGTGTGTCTGTACTGTATGTGTGTACATTCATAAAGCTTAGAACTTGAAAACATTTTTAGAGAGTGATTCAAATGAAACATAGATGATTGTGACAGTAAGACATCATACAGGCCCCACAAAATTCCACATTTGCCTCTAGATGTCCAGAAAAACTCAGTCCTCACTGTTCCCTGTTATTCCACTCACTCTGGTCCTGAGAAGGTCATGATGATAAGAAAAAAGGGCTCAAAGCTAAGGATAAACCAACCTAAGGAATGGGGCTGGAGCTGTCGCACAGCAGATAGGGCATTTACCTTGCACACAGCTGACCCGGGTTCTATTCTCAGCATCCCATAAGGTCCCTTGAGCACCACCAGGGGTATTTCCTGAGTGCAGAGCCAGAAGTATCCCCTGAGCATCACCAGGTGTGACTCAAAAAGAGAGAAAAAAAAAACCAACCTAGGGAAAACAAAGGAATAGAGAGGAGATAGTCCTAAAGTCAGGAAACCACATTTCAGGAAACAGGAGGGGATTCAGCCAAGCAGTTAAGGTGAGCAAGGCCTTTAGAATACTGGTGGTTCTGTTAGTTTATTTTTGCTCTTTTTATGATGCCAGGGCTGCAATCCATACAAATAAGCATGTTCTCTCTGGTTCACATCTTAGAACCATGGCTGTTTAACCACAACTATGGAGTGAGGAGCTTCTGTGCAAGTGGAGGATGAAAGTCATATTTGAGGAACTGGTGGCTTTTAAGTTTCGTTGTGAAGAGGATAGAAAGACAGATGGCAGCTGGAGGGATAGGGAAGATGTTTTGGTGATGGAAGGAGAAGTGGAAGTTGGGGGAAGGGTAAATCACATATCCTTGTGGATGAGATCAGGGCTGGTGAAGATACCCTTCAGCAGATGATGGTGAGCATGAGGCTTGAAGGGATACAAAGGCAGTCAGGAGGCTTTCTAAGCAAGACTTTGATTCTATTGGCTTCTGTGATCTTGGTGAAGTCAGTGAGTGGGACAGTAGAGAGTGGAGGAAGAAGAAAATGGGGGAGTTTGTGTACTGGTGGCATGGAATGGGGACACTCACAGATATTGCTCTATGGCCATCCCCACTTCCTAAGCTACACAACATTGCTTAAACAGCCCAAGAAGCTATGGCAGTGGAGAAGCAGAGAGTCAATACACAGTTACCATGTACCCTTCCCTTCTTTGGGGGACACTATAAATCTAACTCTGGCTGGAAACCAGGGTCCTGGGTTCGTGCAAGCTTTCAGCCCTTACACTTGGCTGGGATTCTCAATAGCACAGGAAAGAAGGAAGTTTAACATTCATCTAATGTTTAACATTCATCTAAAGTTTAACATTCATCTAATTCATCCAGCCCTTGCCCATATTCTGTCACTTGATCCGGAAGAGTCTTCTGTGAGCTGTACAAGCTGGACTCATGTGTGGCATCAGGTTGCCTGGTGTCTTCAGCCAACTTTCACCTCGATACACTTTGGTCCTGTCTTTGCCCACTGCTTCCCTTTGATCAGGTGGATTTCTGTGTGGGAGCTGGAGTCCCACAGAGCCCTTCCTCTGTCTGCAGCTGCACTTGCTTCTTGCCCAGAGTAGAGTCCTTTTCCCTTCTTCATCCCATCATCCTTTTAGGCCTGCAGTTCTGTGGAGGGGGCAGTCTCACTGACCAGCCTCACTTGGGGCTGGGGGCAGAGACCAAGAGCACAGAAGAAGCATTCTGTATTGTTTCCTTGTAGCTTCATTCCAGTCAGAAATAAATGTGATTCTGGTAACATCAGACTGGTTCCTTTTTTTTTTTTATTTAACCACACTTTTTTGTTAAAACAATGTGTTAATCATGATGGTCACTTCCTAAAATGGAAATAGAATACAATCCTCCCCTTGGAATTGGAACTCATTTTCTTGTG